CTGTTGTGTTCATTGCTTTTAATCTCTAAATAAAATTAACTTTTTCTATGTCGGTATCATCACAAGTGACTGAGGAGTACCATTGGTTAAAAAAAAAAAAAAAAATGAGAAAGAAATCTTATAGCCGGGTTTCAGATCTCTTCTGTTCTTACGAGCTCAAAACCTTCCTGGCTGAAACGTGAAGATGCTCCCCTTTGTGTCTTGTGTACTTGTAAATAAAGCATGCGATCTAGTGTTGAGAGATGGCAGAGTTTGATTTCCACAAGTCCTGTGTGTGTCAAGAGTAGCACGAGGTAGCTTTGACTGTAGGTAAGGCAATACAGTGTAACTCTGGCTGTAGGATGTTATGAGATAGCAGCAGCTGGGGTTTAGTGGTTTGGTTGGGAAGTATTCCAGTAAAGGCAGTAGGCCAAGTAATGCAGCAGCTTAATTAAACTTGATTGTGAAGAGCACACATACTGAATAGAATGTAACTTTTATTGGCGTTTAAACAAATAATCAGGTTATTATTACTAGAAAAACATTGTCGTGTTTTAAATAAAGGAGGTGAGGTGTTTTATTTTATATTTTACTGATGGCAGGACAATGGGGCTTATTTTAAAATATTTGTTGGGAAATGTTTATAAGCAATATTCTCCATTGCAGAAGTCCCATTAGCTTTGGTTAAAGCATGTCTAACATGCAGTCTGCGAATGTGACAGCCAGCAAGTTTAGTAGCTGCTTTTAGTAACTATAGTGAGGCCAGGCAATGTGCTGTTTTAAGCTTTCCATGGTGCTGGAATTGTGTTTTACATTGATTCATGACTTGAAGGGAAATATCTTTCTTTTTTTGTTTTGTTTAGTCTTTATGCAAGTCTAAGGTTTTCAGAAGGAAAACAAATGAGGTATAACCAGAAACCAGATATAGTGGAGCTACCCCCGCACTACAAGGGTTAAGTGCTCATTTTGTCTAGGGAGCTAATCTAACAGTTATACTCACCCAAATCACGGCCCTGGCTTGCTCTTAGACCAGTCCCTTCAGTCTCGCTCCCTCTCCGCTCCAGCGTTTAAGGCTGGGTTCACACCTAGGCGTATCGAATAGGGGGCGTGTGCCGCGCGTTTTTACTGCGATTCGCGGTTAAAAAACCGCGTGTTTCCGAGGGCCACTTGGCTGTATCCCAATCGATACGCGCGGCAAATTCGCCACAAATAAGCTCCTGTACTTCTTTGGGCGTAGGGCGTTTTGCAGCGCGTTCCTACGCGTGTAAAACGCCCAGGTGGGAACCATGCCCATAGGCAATCATTCGTTTTCACATGTTGAGCGTTTTACAGAGCGTAGGAACGCGCTGTAAAACGTCCAGGTGTGAACCAGGCCTTAAGGTCCTGTGAGTCATCACGTCTTATACAGTGTATAGAAAGTGAGGATGCCTAGGGATATTCCATCAGTGGAGCAGAGGAGAAACAGGCTGGAGGGAGCGATGTAGGAGCCAGCCAGGATCATGATTTACATGAGTATAGCTTTGTTATTTTAGCTCCCTAGACAAAACGAGCACTTAAGGCTTGCATTGTGGGCGCAGCCTCACTGCAAGGGTTAAGATTTTATTTGCCCAGAGTTCTTCTTTAAAGGGTATATATTTTAAAAAATTAGTTAAATATGACAAATGCCTATGAAATGGAGTGCCATCAAGGCTGGACTGGGGTATAAGAGTATACTTTTAAGGAATAGATGTAGGTTTTTTTTCTTTATAGCTTTGTCGGGTGGAGGGTCAGAGTTGGTCAATAGTTGGAAGGGATTAGCTAAAAAAAAGGAGGTGGGGGATTAGAAGGAAGTGTCACCTCCAGATATCTCATCTACCCAGTTCTATACCTAATCCCACAGAAATTAAAGTAGAACTCCAGGGAAACAATTTTTAACCCTTGCAGTGGGGCACTGCAAGAGTTAACTGCTTATTTGTGTCTATGTTAAAAAGAAAAGTTATACTGACCTGATCCTCAGAGCTGGAGCAGTCCGTTCTACAGCATTTCTGTTGTATACAGATGATATGTACCAATTATGGTTACAACTGACATGACAAATCTTAGCAAGATTGGAAAAAAGTATATTTTTACAATCATCTTTATATACACCATCTCCCGATAATGATCTCAGCCTGTACACATTTTCCAGTCTGACATTGGTTATAAGCGTTTGTGTTTCATAGACCCCTCTGAGATCAATTAGATTAGGTCAATTTTCAGCCCATTTTGTGTCTAATGGGAGCAAAAGTCCCACCAAAATGATGTTTAGGAAAGGAAAAATATAATTATTGTATATAATATTTATTTATTTCTATAGTATTTATTATACGGCAGCTATATTTTCATTAATGTCTTGTTCATATACATGGCTTGAGGTGGTCATACCCAAAAGATGTTTTCTTTCCATACAGCTTATGATCACATGATTTTAGGAGTGTTGTAATTTAAATTCAGTCAAAATAGTTTTATGTTGGCAACACATAGATATGGTCATTCAGTCGATCATTCAATTTGACTAAGCTGATCAATAAAAATCTCAATCAAACCAAATACCCTTAATTTCATCGATTTAGTTCTTGATTGACTTAGTAAAGTATATGTAACTACAGAAAAAGCCTCACGTGACGAACACGACCGCGGCCATCTTTCCCTCTCTGACACGTGGTTGTGGCTCCCTCTAGTCGAGATTGCGATCGAGATTGCGAACCGCGTGCAGAGCGGTTAGTGTTCACTCTCTTCATACTGTACTGTACTTTGCTTCATATTTTTGTGGTTAAAATGTTTTTTTTACATATGGTTCAGAACGGATTAACATTATTTACATTGAACCCTATGGGAAAATTTGATTCTGTCCGCGCCCAAAATCGGTTTGTAGGGGTCATAACGAATTAACCTTATTTACATTGAACACTATGGGGAAATTTGATTCGGTTCACGAAAAATTCGGTTCGCGACCAGAATCGTGGGACGCATTAAGTTCATGAACCGAGGTACCACTGTATACACAAACAGTATGCTTCTAACCTTTTGCCAACCCCAGACCTTTCTAAAAAGTATGTTCTTTAGATACCATCAACTCCCCCATGCACGCACTTGTCAACAAATAGACACTGACTTGACTATATGTAAAACAGAGGTGATCCCATTGATGGTGCATTTACCTAGTCTAATGTCTAGAATATATTTCTTGATCATACATTGCAGGACAGAGGCAGGTAATTCTGGGAGTTTTGCACATCCCATTGATTCCAGAATTACCTCCTAAGTGTCCTGTAATGTATGATCAAGAAAACAGGATTTTTGTCTTATCTGTGACATCTTTTTCTTGGAGTACTTCACAGGACAAAGGATCCTCCCCTCTGTATTCTGTGATCCTCTTTGTGCTGCTTGCTATAAAACTAAGGCAGAATGGGAACGGAAGTTGTGCTGCTGCTTTGATTTGCCATTGTCCAATCGCTTCTGTATAACCCATTGGCACCAGAAGTAACTCCCCGTGACCTACTTTAAGAAATGGATTTTAGAAGCAAGATAAAAAAAAAAATTGTATTCCATTGCAAACAAATATTACTATTGCTACTCTTTTACCATGGAAAGCAAAGCGGGCAAAAGATGTGGGTCATTCAGCTGAGGACCAATCGGCTGAGGCATGGCAGTGAATCGGATTCACTCTCCCCATTGCAGAAAATCACACAATTCTTTTGAATATATTGGTTATACTGAACACCTCTGAGACTGTATAAAGTGTCTCTCAGGGGGAGCTTTGTACCAGTTTTTTTATTCTTTTTCTTTCTGATAAAAGAAAGAAAACTGTACGAAATTGCAGTTCTTTTACAATAAAAACAATTGTCTGATGAAACAAATTTTTTCAATTGTAGCAAATTGGAGCATTTAAAAAATACACCACTGGAGAGGACATGTTGTTTGCTTCAAACAAAGGGCTATCATAAAAATGTACACTCCACAAATCAAGAGCCTTCAAGGAAGAGAACACAATATTGCATATGATTTGAGCCACAGTCTTGTTACTTATCTCAGCAGTCCCCGTACTACGTTGTGTAAAATAAGTATGTCCATTTCTACTAATATCTATGCATAATACATTTAAATATTGTGGTAAGTGAAGATATATTCAGGCCTTGCTCTGTTTCTCCAGTCTTTGCCCTAATCCTGATGGCTGATCCTAACCATTTGATCAGGATCTATGTATTAATAATTCAGGTACACCACTTACAGTGTGAATGAATCTTCTTATCCTAATAGACTTTTTGGCTTTACCTGCTAAGCTGTTATTACACTAACTTGATTAGAAATAGACTACGGTGAAATGTTCTGCAGAGTTTAGGAATAGGCCACTTACAATTATTTTACGATTTTAGTCTCCTTTTTTCTCAAGAAGTTTAAATCAACAGTTTCTCCTTCAGTAATGACATGGTAATGACATGTCAGTGTTACCAGGCCTGCACACCTGCTGTGCCAGTTATGGATGGGTCCCACTCCCTGTTTGATTTTAAATTTATTTTAGAGAATACATATAGATTATATAGATTATAGTATGAAGCTGGGCAGGGACAAAAATCAGAAACAAGAAGGGACAATCACAAGTAAAGGAGTAAGGAGCTGCCTAAAAGAGAAGTGTGTTCCTCTAGCATTAAAACCGAACTGTTTTTTTTTTTTCTTCAAACATGCACCCCCTATTATACACATGCCTGCAAATAAAATTTGATGTGGGCTATTTTGACAATAAATATGTTTTAATACATAATTTGCCTGGAAATTCTGAATGTGAGGGGTTAACCTCGCTCATAAGTACATTACCATGAACTTGTCTAGCTAATGACTGATTGAGCTTGTACACCAGTGTCAAAGCGTGAGCATTCTCTGTTGTATCTGTAGGCTTGTGTCCAAGGTCTGGGATTTATACTGACATAGTAATCCTTCATTTCACTCTGCTCTGTCCTCTGCAATGATTAACTTCACAATTTGTTCTACCTTCTTCTCTTTAGGTTTGTTTGAATATGGACGCAATTGGTCTGCCATTGCCAGAATGGTCGGCTCCAAAACAGTATCTCAGTGCAAGAACTTCTACTTTAACTACAAGAAGAGGCAGAACCTAGATGGCATCCTACAGCAGCATAAACTGAAGATGGTAAGGAGCGCTGGCTTCTCACTTGTTTTAAGTGTATTTAAAACAAAATGGTTTGATTTGAGAGTGATTATAGTGCATATTGGATTAAAGAACTCCAGGTAAAAAAATTGTATTAACCTTTGCACTGTGGCTACCCCCGCACTGCGAGGGTTAAGTGCTCGTTTGTGTTTAGGTACAAAAAAAAATGTTATACTCACCAGACCATGAAAGTTGGCTTATTCTTAGACCGGTGTCTCGAGCGTCTCTCCCCCTCTCATGCAGCGGTCTAAGGATCCTGGTGTCATCATTCTCTATACACTGTCCATAGACTGTGTATATATGTGAAGATGCCGAGGAGCAGTACGTCTGTGTAGCAGACGAGGAGACATGCTTCAGTAATCACAGAAACAGAGAGCCAGCTCGTATAATCTGTAATAGTCAGTGTACCCATTGCACTCCTTACCGCTATATCCTTGATAAATAGGTTGGGTGCATCAGTAGTCGACGGATGGCCATCGTCTGAGTAGAGTATAGGAAATTATGGACACCGGCACTCCAAAGTAAAATAACGTCTTTTATTGACGTGTCATGCAACAATACACTTATTGCAACGTTTCGGGGTCACACAGGATCCCCTTTATCCCCTTCATGATGTCCATAATTTCCTAAGCTCGTATAATCTGGCGAGTATAACTTTTTTAGTTTTTAGCACTTGATACAAAAACAAGCATTTAACCCTTGCAGTAAGGAGGTAGCCCCACTGCGAGGGTTAATAACATTTTTAACTTAAGTTCTTATTTAAAGTCTACCCCATTAAGCTACAAATATGTAAAATATTGTTTTCCTTGTTTTTGTATTTAAATGAAAAACAAGGAAGTATGACAGTGATTTTTTTTCTGGAGTTATAATTCAGTTTAGTAAGTCTTATAATCCAGGCATCCTTGCTAGACAGTACAGGCACACCCTGGACCTGGACACTTAATTAAGCAATTCATTCTGGTCTGGGATCTGCTTCAGACTAGGACAATCTCTGCCTTGGACAATGAAGAAAGAGCTGCACATGGATGAAATCATCTTGTATTCTTCCCATACTGAAAGTGCACATACACTTTGCAAAGCAGTAGATTACTAATTGGCTTTCACTGCTGCCTCTCCCTACCCAAGTCTGAGTTTTGCAGAAATTACAGGTGATTGAAATCAAGATAGATTTAAGTAGAAATGCTTGTTTTATGTGATAATGCAACACACGAGCGCGAACGCACACATTGAGTGTGCACGTGTATGAAAATGACTATTGCCCCACACATATTAGGTATCGCTGCACATGCAAGTATGAGAACAATAATTCTATGGCCACGGGTCCCTGGTAACTCTGTAAATAATAACCTGTAAAGCTTTAAAAGTGTCACCTATGGACAGCTTAGAGTACCTTCGTTTTTTACTGTTTCACAGGCGCGCACAATTTTGCTTGACATATTTGGTATATATTTACTGAACACAAACACTTGGTGGGCTGTGCGGTGTCCGTGGTGGGCTGTGCGGTGTCCGTGGTGGGCTGTGCGGTGTCCGTGGTGGGCTGTGCGGGGTCTGTGATGGGCTGTGCGGGATCTCGAGTGGGCTGTGCGGGATCTCGAGTGGGCTGGGCAAGGTCTATACTTTATTGTGTGGGTTCTATAGTGGGCTGTGCGGGCACTCACCAGGGGTCCCGGTTGGTCTCACAGCCGGGTGTGGGCAGCGGGGCTCCCCAGGAAGGAGAAGTTTTTAGGGCCTGTGCACATAGGCTTTTGTTCCCTCCAGAACTGATGTCCCCCCCCGTAGTGGAAGTGCAAAAGCAGCTTGCAGTAGGTTGATGCAGGCCAGAAATGGGTCAACTGCAGGTCAAATGCACCTGTCGGTAAACTCTGAATGATCTCAAATGCAAGAGTAATGCTCCTGAAAGCAAGCTACATTTACCCATTGACACAAGCCCTTTGAAAGTTTTCGGGTCCCTCTCAGGTTAAATTGGATATCATAATATGGAATATCTTTCTACAATAACAATTGCTCATTGAAGAGAGATGCTGGAAGAGCGGAGGTGAAGGAGGCCTTTGCCATAGTAACCATTTATACTTCATAGTCATATGGCTGTTCTCCGAGACTGTTTGTCTTCTAGCCTCTCTTCAAGCTACAACATAGCAATTAAAATTCAGGTTTAGTATATATTTCCAACCCTTTTGAGTTTCATTTAGTTAAAAACAAAATAAATAAATGAAAAGCGGTTTTCCGATAAGTAGAAAACTCAGGGTATTCATTAGCATGGAACATTGAAAAGGTTTGTGCTGTGCATCTTCATGCCGTTTTCCAGGCCCCAAATGGAAGTATTTCAAATGCTTTTAAGGGCAATCTGTCTGCAATGCAACATCTATATAAATGGAACACATTCAAAGCAATCTTTAGCCAGGCAATTGAGTCTGGTAGTAGTATTGAGCAGTTTGACAACTGGCTACATCTGCACTAATCTACATTAGAAAAGAAGTGAAGCCAAACTTTTTTTTTTGGCTTTAATCCTCTTTTGGGTCAAATGATTAGATACTAATGTACTCTTCTTACCCAAACTATTGCATCTAGCAATATTGTCAGGAGCCACCCCACTGCTGATTGACAGCTGGCTTTGCCTCTCTAGAGCCAGAGGCAGCTGTGTCCGCCCCTCCCCTGTCTGTCCCTCCAATGAGCAATGGAGGAACAGAGAGGGGAAAGGGAAATCCCTGATGGGAGCAGCGACTGACAGTCACTACTCTCTGTAGGGAGAACACTGTGATCTTAACAATCAGTTTGTGATTGACCGGCCCGCCTACATAATTTTAATGCAATTGTATGTCGGACAATGTCAGTCCTTGGGGTGTGCGTCAAGTTTGGGTTTGATCTATGATGTTTATGTATTTTATTATTTTAATCTAGAGTAGGCATAGCAAGCTGGGTTTTTTGGGCCACATGCAGCTTTCTTGCTTCTTGAATACTCAAGGATATAAGGCCTTGTTCACACCAAATGCAGACCAGATCTGCATGAGTTTCTGCACACGCAGTGCAGCATGTAAAAAAGGGCCTGCTGCAGTTTTTTACCTGCTCTGGAATGGAACGCTGCGATGTGAACTGGAGCTAAAAATACCATTGGAATACATTGGACGCAGTTTTGCTCCGGTCTGTAACTGCTCTGCTCCTGGAATGCGCTTGGTGTGAACAAGGCCTGAGACATTCTCCCCCGTCTCTGGTGTATTACAAAAAATGATTACTTTAATATTAAAGTGGACCTTTACCTCCTTTGACTAAAAATCACATCAGCATACAGCTCTGCGTGTTGATATTAAATTATTTTACATTCTTTAGCTAAACAAACATATTTTTATTTTACTTACAATTTTTTTTTCCACGTTGGCACAAATGATGTAATCGTGCCCAAGCATTGCATCCTGGGAAGGTTACAGCAGCAGTGCATTGCGGGGAAGTCTCATCTGTAATCTCATGAAATCTCGGAAAGGCTTTTTCCTCCCCTGAGATGATGTGCATGGTCACATGTCCTAGTCACATGTGCCAGAGTTCCAGGAAGTAAGGGGAAATTTCTCTATACTTGTTCCTGGTCAATGACTGCTTCGAAGTCAAAGCCTCAGCTCATTGGCCAGCGAACCACCATTTTTGAAAGGAGAGTTCAGCAATGGCAGCCTCCATTAAATCCTCTTGACAGTGTGCCTTTAAGTAAGTGTGGCCCTTCTAAAGATTTGTATACTTCTGCTTAATCAGGTCAGGCTAAAGCTTTGTCCTACAAGCCTTTAGAAGTGTGCATTTTTGTAACAGTCTAAATTCAAATTTGACAAGCTTACTGCTGGAACTACTACAGTTACCAATGTCCTATCACCACCAATTTTGATTATATATATTGGAATCGAAATTCGGACGAATTTTCGGAAATTCGGACATTCGGATGTATCCGAATTGCAGATATAACGAATGCAAATGAATCCGAATTTCCGTTTCCAAAATTCGTTAGCGGTAGTTCGTTAGAACTTTCGTTTTCGTTTCGTTCGTTGTGTGATTATAATTAATTTATGCTTGGACTTGTTCTGTAACTTGTGCAGACAATTTGCCGACTAGTTTATGATGTTTGCCGACTAGAATTTTGCAACTATTTTTATGATGTGTGGTAATATGAATTGCATTTTAGAATTTGCTCAATTCATGATGGTCTATAAACTGTAGGTGTGGTGTTAGCCACTTGCCAAGGTAGATTTATTTGTTGTTTTTTTTTTGCTTTCCTACTATAGTAAAGTTTTTGATGAAAGTCTGAAGTCATCTTGTGTGACACCTGCAGTTTTGAATTAGGCATTGATAACCTCCTTCCTCTGCTGTTTTTATTAGCGTGTCAGTTGTTTGCATGCTCTATAATAGATATGTTTGTTCCAGGAGAAGGAGCGTAACAACAGGCGCAAGAAGAAAAAAGCTGCACAAACGGAAGAGGCGGTCCCGTATGCCCCCGCTGTTGAAGATGAAGAGATGGAGGCATCTGGGATTAGTGGCAATGAAGAGGAGATGGCAGAAGAAGGAGACAGTAAGTGTCTCAGTTTATTAATCACCAGATATGCTCTCTTTTTTTTTCTTGTTGAATCTATGCATAGGTTTTTGTGACTGATTTTGTTACAATAAGCTCTTGGAAGAAAGAAGGGTCTGTCAGGGTGATTTGTACTTCTAAATGTAAGATACATTGGGGACTCCCAAAGAACCTGAAATATGCTCTGTCTGCATTTTGCTACTGTTCCTCGTCACAATATAACATTCATTACCCTATTTACCTTAGCTGTACCTGGACATTACCAGTGGCATCACCTTCTATGCTATAGCCCTTAAAGCGACACTAAACTTAGGAGTTAAATCTTAACAATACATTTCAGTATCCTAACTATTAATAAAAATGTATCTTATTTGTGTATCACTCGGCTGTAGATCCTCAAAGTATATCTGAATTGGTGCTGACACTGTCCTTTCTTATGGAGGGTGACTACTTTTGTTCCCCATGGTCCCTGTGTGTCTTGTAAAGGAGCCACCGCTCCAAGTTCGCTCCTATGATGGACTAAAATCTCAATACAACTAAACATGAGATTGTAGTTTATCTCAGGAGTGAGCTTGGAGTGGTGACTACTTTACAACACACACAGGACCATGGGGAACAAAAATAGCCCCCCTCCAGAAGGCAGGACAGAATGAATTCAGAGATGATTTGAGGATCTACAGCTTAGTAATACACAAGTAAGTTACATTTTTTGTTAATAGGAGACTTGGATGCATTTTTAAGATTTAAGTCCTGAGTTTAGTGTCACATTAAACATTTAAGCATTCCTTATTTGGGTCTGTAGCTGTACAAGGGTGAGCAGACAATGAGCCGTGGGGAAGAAACCTTGAGTGCCTGGCCCACATGTGGATCCCTTTATACCTTTATGGGGGTTTTGTTCTTTTTTTGTCCAGTGTATTTCCCCTTACTGTTCACCACACAATAAATTGCCAGTTTGCGCTAACAATGATCCATAAAGTTATGTACGCTGGGGATGATCTGATTTATAAATATACTTTTATTTGTGGTGTACACTGTAACGTATAAATATTAGGGATGTCCGATACCATTTTTTCAAGTACAAGTACTCTTTCTCAGGTACTTGCCGATACCAATTACCGATACTTTTTCTTAAAGGGACATGTGACATTTAAAAAAAAAACCAAGAAAGACTAATGATTTTAGGGCAGTTTCTTTATTATTACGAAGACCTGTAACTCAATCTGTGATTATATAGCAATAGAGAATGGCAAGCGGCTATAGAGGACTAAAAATCTCAGCAATCCATGATTATTTAGCAATGGAGAATGGCAACCAGCAACAATGGATTGCTGAGATTTTTAGTCTTCTATAGCTGGTTGCCATTCTGTATTGCGGTATAACCATTGAGTATACGGCAATGGAGAGAAATAAATTAAAGGGCCAGTATCGGCCCATAGTATCGGTGCATTTTCAGGAATACAAGTACTCCTGAAAATGCCCTGTAATGGCCCCGATACAGATACTAGTATCGATATCGCAACATCCCTAATAAATACATTTGATGGTTATATTTCCGAATGATTTGACATATGATGAGATCTGCTATGCACATTCATGATTGGTTTCCTTCTATTAGCAGCAGTTAACAACAGTTCGGACACAGAGAGTGTTCCTTCACCAAGACAAGAAGCCAAAGAGAGCAAAGACAATGAGGCCAAGCCAATAGTAGAGCCTGTGGTAGAAGGGGACTGTGAGGTTCCGGTAAATTCCAGTAACTCCACTTCTCCACAATCTCAGGAACTTTCTGAAAGGACTAGTAATGGGGAGGAGACCAAAGAAGTACCAGAGCCTAGTACAATAAAAAAAGAGGAGGAATGTGAGGGAAAAAGCTACGAGGAACTAGGAAATATTGACATCAAACTGGAGGACTGCACAGAGGGTGTGGCTGAGAAGCCAGAAGAGCCACCAAAGGAAGCAACAGAGGCACTACAAAAAATAGAAAAGAAGCACAGCAAACATGGTGGCAAGACAAATGCAGACAGTGACTCTAGCGCCACGTGCAGTGCAGATGAAGCTGAAGAACAGGATTCTTCTGACAAGAACAGGTATAAAAAAACAGAGTGGGTTTCCAGAGATTTGCAACAGTAAACATGTTCTTGCTACTGTGTGACTTGTTAATGTGTGACATGTTAATGTTAACATGCTCTGGTTGCAGAGAACAGAAGCTGACGGTTTGGCAGCTTGCTTGACTAGTATAGTACATTCAGAGCTGTTGATATTACTTTTGTCAACACAAATACAGCAGGGAGGCCAGAAAGTCTATAGACTGGCCATTCACCATTAAATCTTGCTGCACTGCCCAGTAACAAGCCATCTGCCTTTTATAAGTAAGATCTAACTCCCAGCAAAATCACATTTTATTTAGCATAGATAGTAATCCTGTCATAGGAGAAACATGGGGGCTGCTATTGCTGACTTCGTTCTGAAAATTCTTCCTGCCCGGGTGGTTATGCTGAGCTTCTTGCCAAGTAACAGATCAGGAACAAGTATGCAGATTAAGAAAGTTGGAGAACAGTCCAACTTTGGAAAGTTGGGGAAAAGTACTTACCTGCATACTTGTTCTGGGTCACTCATTTGAAGCCAGAGGATCTGCATGACAGCCAGGGAACTACATTTGTACAGTGAGAGATCAGCAATGACAGACTCCATGCTTTTCTTATGACAGGTTTCCTTGATAGCAGTGAAAATCATTTAAGGTGCCATGTTGAATTTAAATGAAAGAAAAACCACGTGTCCTGGCCTCTCGGAGCCCTTGTTCTGGAGTTATCGACTCATATGTAAATTATAAACCCGTTTTGCACACAATGCATTTATATTATATCTCTATAATTTGTTTTTATTTTTCAAATACTTCTGTCAGTACTGGTCACGACTTTAAAAGACTTTGTTTTTTAACCAATATAATATGAATAGCCCTTCGCCGCAGTTGTTTTGACTTTTTGAGTGTGTTTGCACAGGCCAGTCTGTTATTCAGTAATATCAGTGCTCGTATTGCTTCTGTGGCTTATAAAAATATTCAGTCGTCATCTCCCTGTGTATGCAGCCATTGTATGACTGTTCCTATTGTCCCTCGCATGATACAAAAGTTCAACTCAGGCATGGTACGTAGCAATAGGCAAGATTTGTCCAGGCTCCAAGCTTTATATAAAAAAGGTAGCTGTGCAAGGCCACCTCTTTTCAGAGTCTGGAATCCAGCTATTCTCTTGTATGCTATTTTGGTAACAGAGAGGTGCACCTGTTTGCCGCAGACTCTCTCTGTTTTGTGTAAAGCAGCCCAATTAGCTGACCTCATGAGAACAACATTTCACCTCCATCGTCTGTAAGCCTAAAGTGAGTGGCTTCCTCGAAAAGGGCTCTTCAGATAAGTGTCTACTGGAAAGACTTTTTCCCAATAATGACTACTGCCTTATGTTCCATACAATTCAGCTTTGTTTGAATCATCTATATTTGTAGACAGCCGTATATTAAGTGTTTGCTGGATGCTCATAGGAAAAGATGGTTTCCAAATACACTACTTAAGAGCCTAATAAATGTTTAGCTGACTATAGACAAAAATACATTGTATCAAGGAATGATGTTCTGGCCTTGTTTGTGAAGACTTCTCGGCTCGGAGTTCTTTTATTAAATAGAAAACCTTTGTCTGAGTCCATAGTGTTCGAGTAGCTCCTTTAATGTTGTTCTAACTAGGCAGGGTACGGAGAACAGTGCCAAAAGGAAACAACAAATTCTCTACTAAAATATAAAGTACAGAAGGTGTTTGCTTGTAATTTCTTACACTATAAAGGGGGGAAAAACTATTCCAAAGTAGTGAGTGACGCAAAGAAGATAATTAGTACATGCCCTAACAGCCTTTGGAATGGCAGTATAAAAATCATTGTTTTTCTGGAACAGGCCTTACAGAGCAAATAATCCATATAACCAGTTAGGTGCCAGTGAGGGACCAATAGCAACCAAATAGCCCTCCAAAAATTCCTTAAGTGGAACAAGTAACCACTGTTCCATTTAAGATCCAGTAAACTGTTCAACCTGGCAAATGATTTGTTTTTCTGTTTGGCCGATTCATAAATACTTACCAATTGTCATAATCATAGGGTCACTCCATTCTGCAGAACCTAGAGCCAAGCCCACTTCCTGTGTCACCACTAGTATCCAGTGTGAGTCACTATAGACATCCTGTAATTGTACTATTGGAAAGTAGTAAATGTTACAAAATTGGATTTTTTTCTTGGAAAGCCACTAATAATGAAATTCAAGCCGTTTCTTGTTTATCTAAGGAACCATATCATATCTTTCATTGATGATACTGCTTTTTTCTTCTCGTGAAACCACATTTTAAACGGGGAAATTCATCTAATCACCATAAATTCCTAAGTAATGTAAGAGCCAGAAGTTGAGGTCATGTGTTTCTCACATTTATATGAGTAGACGCAATAGCAGATATTGGTAGTATGATTTGTCTTTCTCCATCCTGGGAATTGTTCTCCTTGTGTAAAGACATGAATTAACTACATAAATGGTGTCTACAGGTTGACTTATATAGTACATGTTTTATATTAATCGTATTAAAGTGAAACAAAATGTCATGAATGTTTACATCATGAACGGTTTCCTTGTACTTCCCAGTATATGTAGTGGGATTGGTTTTAAAAAACATACCTTCAATTTCTGTCCCTGTGACAACAGGGCAAGAAATAAAGGGAACAGGGTCACCAGGAAGGGAAGGCAAAGCAGAAATAAAATGACAAACATTTTGCTTTTCCCCATTCTATTGGAATCATTATTTTTTTTTTTTTTTTATTGTTTAGTTGTTATTTAATTGTTGCTGTGTTCCATTGAATAGATTTTTCCATTCCCTCTGACCCCTGTCATTGAGACAGGGAGCAATGTATAATCTTCCCAATAGGAACGCGCGCAGTACTAAAACCTGACAAAGGCTTTAAAGTAATATTAAACTCTCAAACTTTTTTTTCGGTAATGAATCCAGATCAAACAAATATACATTTCCCAGCAAAGGTTTGCTTTACATGTTTTCCCAAACACTTACAATCATCATGTTTCTGAACAGCTCCTTCCAAGTCTCTTAGCTTGGCTTCCCTGAACTTCCTGTCCAGTACAATGTCACAAAGGACAGTGCAGACTCCAGCAACTGTTCATCCACTAGCTTGGGGAGGGGAGTAGCTTGATTTGCTGTGTCTATGTGTTTGTGGAGACACACCGAGCTTACTAGCACACACAAGGGTGAGTGCATAGCACTCTGTTTGAGAAAGGAGTCACTTTAAGGCCTCAGTCACACAGCTAAGCTGGCCCGTACAGATCCGTGTGGCATGCACAGCCGTATCTGTCCGCTCCCGGGAAGGACAGGTGCTGCGTGTGATTGTATGCAGTAGCCTGTTCTTCTCTATGGGAGGACGTGGCCATGCGGACACCCGCATGGATGTGCAGCTCAGGCGAGCGTACGGCAGTGTACTCACATAGAGAAGAACTGGCTGCTGCGTACAATCACACGCAGGACCTGTCCTTCCTTGGAATGGCCCGATACGGCCGCGCACACCGCACGGATCTGCAGTGTGAATGAGGGCTAAAACAGGATATCAGGACCAGTGCTCAGGAGACCAGCTGATTCTGCAGGAAACTAAAACTTTTAAACATCAAGAAGCAGCATTCATTGTAAGTGATTTCATCAGCATTTGAAATAGCTTAAAATCCATTTGACTTTAATATCACATTAACGCTTCCCTTTGCTCACTCTATCCACAAGTAAAATAAAAAAGAGTCTGGCTACAATTGGGCTTTAAAGAATAACTCCACTAAGCAGTTTTCCATTTAAACTGACCTGAGTAGCTGTAACAGTTTAGTTAGTTTTTTTTGCAAGCTAGCTGGAAAGTATGCTGAGGTACTGTCAATTACAATGCTCCAATGTCATTATTTTTCATATTTAAGTTTTTCTGGTTCATGAGATTAGATAATTTGCATATTAACAGCCTTCCCAGAGACAAAATTCCTAAAAGGTTATATATGAGATCTAAATTCCAATTTAGAGCTCAATCCCCCAATCGACCCCACTCCAATCTGAGGCCTCCAGAATGTATGTTCTGTGTTGGAGGTCCAAGATGGTAGAACTTTACAGTGAATGCAAGACAGCATGGTCCTGCCCTCAACAAGGTGAATGACACTGGTTGTCTTTCAACCCGGGTGACTGGGGACATCTTGTGGTGAAGGAAAGGTACTGCAGTGGACATCTCTGGATTAAGGGTACGTTCACACCATATGCAGTGCGTTCCGGCCGGCTCACTATTTCGTGGGGCTGGATGGGGCGTGACGGGCTTTTGAAGTGAATGGCACCGTAGCCACGACCTCCGGGCCGCAATGCGATCGCCCGCACGGGATCGCAGGGCACATTGTGCCTGCGGTACGGTGCGGTCAAAATAGGGCTTGCAGCATTTGCACCGCACCGGACCGCAGGCACAATGTGCCCTGCAATCCCGTGCGGGCGATTGCATTGCGGCCAGAGGGCGTAGCTACGGTGCCATTCACTTTAATGGCCTGCCACGCCCCCTACAGCCCCATGAAATAGTGAGCCGGCTGCAATGCGATGCAGTGCGTTCGGGCCGGAACGCACTTCATATGGTGTGAACGTAAAAGGAGGGTATTGCAGTTTGGGTTTTTATTTCTAGTACCTGATGGGGCTCTATTTAGTTTACAAAAAAAAAAATTGTTCAGAGTTAGGGTTTAAGCTTTGCTACTAGTGGAAACTGTAGAAATGTTTTGCTAAGGCCAGAGGTCTTTATTCAATTGATGACACAGTAGCTGATTTCCACTAAGAATGTGACAAATTCAAACATTTAGAGTTACTGTATTTGGTTAATTTAGGGGAAAGGCTCATATTAAAAACCACTATATCTCTGCAGCAATAGTTTCATCATTTTTTTTTTTTGGCAAGTTGTGCACATGCAATAAAAAGCCAGAGATAGAAGAAAGCATTGCAACAAGACCCCGACTTTCCTAGTTAACAAACACAGGCATACTTTTATCCTAATATAAGAAAATATAGCATGTGCAGGTTATCTAACGGCTAGAGTAACACGGGCAATTTTTAGTAGATCACTAAAATGTAAAAAAATAAACGTAATGATCATATGATAAATGTATGGATTAGATGACTCCCTTGTGTAAACTACGGAAGAAGTATGTAACAGAAATACTACAGTACATCTCCTCATCTCTATGACATATGGAGGCGGTGTTCTGCAGTCTAAGAGAGGAAAACTTAAGCAGACAACTCTGCTTGTGATTTCATTGTAGCAGAAACAATGGAATCCTGCTCAAACAGGAGCTCAATAGCTCACTGATTTTTAGGATCAACAGGTATGTTTCTGTATTTGCAGCTTTTATATAGGAGACAAAACACAGGGAATGTGCATGTATTGCAGAAATGTACTCATTAGGTTTTTTGTTTATTTGTTTTTTTACATTGTGTCGGATATACACTTTAATTTTGCATAATCACACAGTACTACAATTGTGTGCGATTGATAGCTACTTCATTCTACTTGTGTAGGTTTATTGCACTTTAACTTCGTATATTCAATTATTATTATACAGGATTTATATAGCGCCAACAGTTTGCGCAGCGCTTTACAATATAAGGAAGACATTACAATCACAATACAATACAATTCAAGACAAGGGGGTAAGGAGGGCCCTGCCCGTGAGGGCTTACAATCTAAAAGGGAGGGGGAAGTGATACATGAGGAGGGAGCTGTGTGGGGATGAATTGATTGAGAAAGTGATAGTTCAGTGGTTAGGTTGAGGTGGGATAGGCTTCCCTGAACAGATGAGTCTTTAGAGATCGCCTAAAGGCAGTCAAGGTGGGAGACAGACGGACAGGTTGGGGCAAAGAGTTCCAGAGGATGGGAGAGACTCTGATGAAGTCCTGGAGGCGAGCATGGGAGGAGTTTACGAGGGAGCTGGAAAGCAGAAAGTCTTTTGAAGAGCGGAGGTAACATTTAGGGTGATACTTTGAGACGAGGTTGGAGATCTAGCCGGGGGCAGAGTTGTGAATGGCTTTGTAAGTCGTTGTTAATAATTAGATTTTTATCCTTTGGGCGAGTGGAAGTCAGTGCAGGGATTGACAGAGGGGGGTTGCAGACACTGAGCGGTTGGTTAGGTGGATGAGTCTAGCAGCTGCATTCATGATAGACTGAAGGGGGGATAGCCTGTGTAGTGGAAGGCCAATGAGGAGGGAGTTGCAATAGTCAAGACGAGAGATAACAAGCGAATGGATGAGTAATTTTGCGGTCTCATTGGTGAGGAAGGGGCGTATTTTGGAGATGTTACGAAGGTGAAGGCGGCAGGATTTGGATAGGAATGGGATGTGGGGCAGAAAGGTGAGGTCCGAGTCAAGGATGACACCTAGCACCTTGTCATGAGGGGAGGGATGGATAGTTGTGTTAATTGTTGCACCAGTGAACTAAAAGTGGACTATTTTATTATTTTCTTACATGTTGCACTTTATTTTTTATGTAGCACGGTATAACAATAGTGTTACACATACGAATCACGTTTATTTCTATTTTGTTTCTTTACGTTTATTTATTTATTGACCATTTTGTATTCTGGATATTATTACTGGAATTAGTGTCTGCTGCTTAGTTAGGAGCTGAGCACAAAGTTTTGAATTTGAAATTTTGTCATTTCTGCCCCATAAGACGATTTATTCCATCCGCTTTGGAATTGATAGAATAGTGATTATTATTTAAAAATGGCTTGTTAGCGCTTGCTCTTTTCATTATATAGCAGATATTGCACGCCACATGCAGCAGGGAACACATATGAACAAGAACAGACTGAATCTGAAACAAAAACTTAAAAAGTATGTTATGAATAATACATAATCTGGATGAAACCAACATAAACATAAACACCAACATCCAGAGTTGCCTACTTTTTAGCTTGTGTTAGATTAATAAGCAACCCTTTATATGCTGGATCCTTTGTACATGCTCTTCTACTGTTATCTTGTGTTATTTGCTAAGAGACCATGGTGCAGAAGCTGTTATGTCCTTAATAAGTAGCGGTTATTCTGCGTGTGAATATAATGACTGACCTTTGCGTTGTGTGTACACAGGCTGCTGTCTCCCCGGCTCAGTTTGCTAAACACAGGCAATGACATGCGTGTGAACTCCTCGCCTCCGAAACCACTGGACCTGAAACAACTAAAGCAGAGAGCGGCTGCCATTCCATCCATAGTAAGTGTCTGCAGGGGGGGAAGCATCACTCACGTGACTTTGTTTATGCTTCTTAGTACTCATAGTAAATATAGAAATCTATGTGTAGCTGCAGACTTCATGAAGGACTTAGCGCAGCTTTGAAATCAGGAACATATAGAACACATATCAAATTGTATTTGTCCTGTGTTATTTCTGAGAACACATTTAAATTTTTTACATTTTTGGAGCTCAGTTTTAAAGTGGTTTTCCGGCTTTTACAAATGTTTTCCTTATTACAGACTATTCTTGGTAAAGCCCTCGTTCACACCTGAACGTTTTGTAGCGCGTTCTACGCTCAACGAACGCTCTACAAAACGCTCAAAAATATAAATCTCATTGTATTCAATGGTCTCGTTCCCACCTTGGCGTATTTCCGCCCGTCCCTAACGCGCTACAAAATGGCCCACGCCTGAAAAGGTACAGGTACTACTTTGGGCCGTTTTGTTGCGCGTTTCCATTGGGATACAGCCAAGTAGCCTTTGGAAACGCGCGTTAGTCGCGCGACTTTTTTTACGGCGAATCACGGTAAAAAACGTGCGACAGACGCGCATATGCAATACGCCTAGGTGTGAACGAGACCTTAGGGTGGAATAACATGCAGTGAGAACACAGTAGGTCAGAGTATTCACCTTAGTTGAAGTGTGGTGAAAAGTAAGTGAAGAAGCTGCTCACAGCAGTTCTTTAAAAATTGTTGCATACTGAAAAAATGGTGAACTTGTATTTTGTTTCTCTGAAAGAGCTTTTGATATTCACAGCAATGTATGCAAAAGTTCCAACAACTGTTACCGTGTATGTAACTACAAAAACATGAATGTCCAATATCTTGATTCACTAAAGTGTATGTATTGCCAAATATTTTTTTTGAGTTTTTGAAGGGAGTGTACTCTACTCCCTGTACACCAAGTCCAAGTAGCTTAAGGGCCTGTGTGCACAGGCATTGTCCTCTTGTGTTTGACAATCATGTCAAACATTGGGGAGCAGATTCCCATTTACCTCAGTTGTACAGCTTGGAAGACAATTCTAAGGCAGTGTTTCACCTGCTTTGTGTTGCTTTTATCCTAATGCAGCATGTCCTATTTCCTATTGGAAATGGCATTATATTACAGGCAAAGCAACTCAAACACTGCATTATGTTTGCATGCATGCATTTAAAAGTAAAAGCAAATGTTAATCGTACCTTCTTAGCCAGAGTAACCCTGAGTGTTAATTGGGCTACAATTCTGTGTGAAAGCTGTAAACTCCGAACATCACTCTGGGTAACCGTGTTGGTGTTAACAGGAAGGAGGTGAGGATCTCCAGGATGGCAAGCAGTAGAGGATCAGTGCACACTTAGTTTTATGAAGTGAACCTGGAAGTGCTGTGCTCTGAGCATGTCCGGGTTTGCAGCTGTCAGATTCTGCGCACCTGCGGCCAGGTATGTTAACAATTTGAGTACTGTCTGTACTTGATTTGTTTGGAAGCAGTGCAAAGCAGTGTGCTTGGATCTCCACCCACCCGCCATGCCTGGCATTTCCAAGTCTGCCAAATCCCCTGACAAGCCCTCCTCAGCATGAAGGCGTGCCCTCATTTCCCAGCCAATCAGGAAGCTGGGCAGCGTGTAATGATTCGCTGCCCGGCTTCCTGATACCGGAAGTATCAGGCTAGGCATCGGAGTATTTGGGCGGGTACGAGTACTCACTCAGATACTCGGCTTCGGCACCGATATTAGTATCGGTGCATCCCTAATTATGAGCAAGCGACAGTACCAGATCAGGTGCAATCTGCTTTCTGTGGGAAATACCTTGTGTGGTTTGTTATGGCTATTGTTAAATGCCTTTTCTATATATAGCAGGATAGTTCTTTTAACCCATTAATGACCATGGCACTTTGTGACCATACATTTTCTTTTGGAAACTTTTTTTTTTTTCTTCTACATAGTAGCAGTCCAGCTCCTCTCTCTGATCATGCTGAGGCAGATGTCAGTGACAAAGCAGTCCTTTTTTAACAGTGCTTTGCCAGACAATTGGCAATGATCACCAGAAGAGAGTCAATGTGCTCAGCTCCTAGAATTTTCATTGTGACCATGGCTGACATTAGCAGCTTGATCACAGCAATCTAACATTGCAATTTAATGCAGCCCAAGAGAATGGGCATGCTTCAACACATGATTCTGTTGGGACTACCTGCAGATATGTTAATCCAGGCTAGAAAGCATTTGTGCAACCAATGGTATATGCACAAATGCCCTGTAAAAGTAAATACAGTATAAGGAGTGTAGATTTGTAATGCACTATTGCATTACATTTCAGGTCCAATTGTCCTATAGGGTAAGCTCAGGAAATGCACATGAATGCAGTTGAAAAGTCAATAACATCCTAATGAAAACCATACTTTTTTTCCCACAAACATAAGCTGAGGAAAGACACTCTCACGTGAACACGCACTAATGTGTAGAAATATGAGCCAGGTTTAAGATTTAGGACCATATATAAAGGTCTTACTGACATGTTTCCTGTGTGTCTTTGTATATTCATGTGCATGGCAGTGCAATCAGATGATGCACAGCAAGGCCTCTCGTGCAAGAGCTGTTCTGCCTGTCAGATTCTGGTTATCATTCATGGTACTCACCTATTTCAAGCAGTCAAACAACCTGTCTTTTCATTTTAATGTCCACCCACTGATTTGTTCATCCATGTAAATGCTATAGAAAGGGCTTTTAGGGTTCAATTAATTGTAATATATTTGTATCATACATTTTTGGAATAATTACACACACGAAGGTTGTTTTTAAAAAAGGACTAAAATGAGCATTTGTCCTAAGAAATAAAGTACGTGAACTTAGACTGAATTAGAATTAGATTAAATAGATTTAAAAAAAAAATATTTGGTGGATGTGTAAGAGAGGTCTAATATCAGGTTCCTGGAGATTTACTAAGTCAAGTGATGGGTTTGGCCAACACAGTCAGATCAGATCCAAAATGTTAGCTTTGATGGGTTTTTTTGCCAACCTCTAGACATGTTGGAATCATAACACTGCACTTTGCTGCAGCCTATTGGAGATTTTTGTTGACTTCAAGCTGCTTCGAGAAAATGTTGTGTACATATACAGTGGTACCTCGGTTCACGAACTTATTTCGTTCCACGATACTGGTCGCGAACCGAATCAAACTGTGATCAGAACACGATTTCGACTAGAGGAAGCCACAAACAGTGTTCGAGCAGGGAAGATGGCTGCGGTTGTGTTCGTCACTTGATGCGGAGTTCGCGAACAGAAGCAAAATTTTGCCGAACTTCCTGTTCGCAAACCGAATTGTTCGCGAGCAGAAACGTTCGTGAACCGAGGTACCACTGTACATCACTACTGATTAATCTGCTGATTTTCTAGGTGCACAAGTATAGTCCTTGCTTTGGGCTCACCTTTTTCTGTAGCAACATTTTGGAACGCATCCGGTTCCTTCAGGCAAAACAAAGTGATTTTGTTTAGCCTGATGAAGGAACTAGATGCGTTATGAAACTTTGCTAAGCTTGGTGATGTAACTGTACACATGACATAAAAGGAACTTTGCTTGGAGAACCTTTTGGAGTGCTGGTGACTTACTATTTTCGGGCAGGAGTGCGGTGGGATCCCCTACATGACTTTACCTTAGTTGAAAGAGAGGTGCTGTTGAGGAATGAGGGACAAAAGAGAACCCCGTTACAAGAGCTGTGAACATTTTGAATAGTCTTCCATTGGAACTGATTAGAGCAGATTAGAGATTAATTGCTAAAAAAATATTGAATTTTAATTGCTACTTTAAATTATAAGGATTGCTAAGTAGGACCTTGATGTCTCCTTCTCCTAGTAACTAGCTTTCCATTGGCTGAAACAAAAATGTTAAAGCTTTGCACAGTGGTTTCAGTCTTTGCCTCTCAAACAGATGGGGATGACTCTCTGTGTCCATGTGGGAGAATGGTGTGGTAGGGTGACAAAGCAGTATTGCTTGGTCACATGTTCAGTAAAAGGCGACGTAACCAGCATTTTTTCTGGACATCAGAAATATGGTACAAGCCCATGCACTGTGCTTGTACCATAAAAAAACTGTCCGCTGGCCTGCTGCAACTTCCTTTATGTCTTTAGAACTGATTTCTAAATTCTGCATTTGTTGCCTGTGCAAACATTTACGGAAAACAAACCACATAGAAGAGTCTCCGTATATCAAACCGTGTGCAATGACCGGACCCTATAGGCACAACCAGGGAATCATAAATCCAATACACCAGCTCAGCACAGAGGCATCTTTCTCAGTACTTCAATAGCTATTTTATTCTAATTTCTGAGCATAACATCATCTTCCCGCAACCAATTAAAGAAGACTTGTTATAAAAGCCATGATAACACAGCACAGCAATAATAACACTCAGGGGAATTTATCAAAGCTGGAGCAATCACAATCTGGAGCATTTGTCCTTGGCAGCCAATCAGCTTCTATCTTTGATTTTCAAAGCTTAACTAAACAAACGGAAGATTGGTTGCTGATTGGTTGCCATGCACAACTGCTCCAGATAATGGCCGCTCCAGTTTTGATACATTTTCCCCATTATATTTACCACTGCATTATTCTAGGTCCATATGTCTTTCTCAACCCCAGAGTGACGATGAAAAGCACACATATAATGTACTTGCTTTTATACAATTGTTTAAACTAGTACCATTGTAT